CATCAGTCCTTCCAATGAATATTCAGGACAGATTTCGTTTAGGATGGACTGGTTGACCTTGCAATCCAAGGGACTCTCAAGAGTCTTCTTCAACACCACAGTTCAAAAGCATCAACTCTTTAGTGCTCACCTTTCCTTATACTCCAACTCTCAAATCCATACATGACTACTGGAAAAAATATAGCTTTGACTAGACAGAACTTTGTCATCAAAGTAATGTCTATGCTTTTTCATATGCTGTCTAGGTTGGTCACAGCTTTTATTCCAAGGAGCAAGCATTTTAAAATTTAATGGCTGAAGTCACACTTTGCAGTGAAGAATCAGACATGACTGAGCAACTGAACTGAACCTAATGAGACTAGATGCCATGATCTTAGCTTTTTGAATGCTGAGTTTTAAGCCAGGTTTTTCACTCTCTTTCAGTTTCATCAAGAGGCTCTTTTGTTCCTCTTCACTTTCTGTCATAAGGGTGGTATTATCTGTATATCTGAGGTTATTGATATTTCTTCCTGCATTCTTGATTCCAGCTTGTGTTTCACTCAATCTGGCATTTTGCATAATGTACTCTGCATATTAGTTAAATAACAGGATGACAATATACAGCATTCACATATTCCTTTCCCAATTTGGAACCAGTCTGTTGTTCCATGTCTGGTTCTAACTGCTGCTTCTTGACCTGTATACAGGTTTCCCAGGAGGCATGTAAGGTGATCTGGTATTCCCATATAAGAATTTTCCACAATTTGTTGTGATCCACACAGTCAAAGGCTTTAGCATCATCAATGAAGCAGAAATATATGTTTTTCTGGAACAGCCTTGCTTTTTCTATAATCCGATGGATGTTGGCAATTTGATCCCTGGTTCCTTTGCATTTTCTAAATCCAGCTTGAACATCTGGAAGTTCGTGGCTCATGTACTATTAAAGCCTAGCTTGGAGAATTTTGAACATTACCTTGCTAACATGTGAGATGAGCGCAATTGTGCAGTAGTTTGAACATTCTTATCATTGCCTTTCTTTTAAATGGAATGAAAACTGACCTTTTCCAGTCCTGGGCACTGTTGAATTTTCCAAATTTGCTGGCATACTGACTGCAGCAATTGAACAGCATCATCTTTTAGGATTTTAAATAGCTCACCTGGGATTCCATCACCTCTGCTAGTTCGTTCATAGTGACGATAGTGATACTTTCTGAGGCCTGTTTGACTTCGCATTCTAGGATGTCTGGCTCTAGCTGAGTGATCATACTATTGTGATTATCTGGGTAATGAAGATCTTTTTTGTACAGTTCTTCTGTGTATTCTTGCCACCTATTCTTAATATCTTCTGCCTCTGTTAGGTCCATAACACTTCTGTCCTTTATTGTGCTCATCTTTGCATGAAATGTTCCCTTGGTATCTCTAATTTTCTTGAAGAGATCTCTAGTCTTTCCTATTCTATTGTTTTCCTCTATTTCTTTGCACTGATCACTTGAGAATGCATTCTTATCTCTCCTTGCTATTCTTCAGAACTCTGTATTCAGATGGATATATCTTTCTTTTTCTCCTTTGCCCTTCACTTCCCTTCTTTCATCAGCTATTTGTAAGGCCTCCTCAAACAACCATTTTGCCTTTTTGCATTTCTTCTTGGAAATGGTTTTGACCACCACCTCCAGTACAATGTTATGAATCCTTGTCCATAGTTCTCCAGACACTCTACCTATCAGATCTAATCCCTTGAATCTATTACCTACATACTGCATGCTGTATTACCACTCTGCCCTATCCTTGACTAATATACTGCTTTCATTACCTACTAATACTTCTGTTGCCAACAGTAGACTGCAAACATTTTTTTATATGGAAGTGATACCCACAGCTAGGAAGGTCCCTGGAAATAACAATTGAAGAGCAAATATGTGCTGAATAAGGAGAGTGCAGTGTGTACTTAATTCAGTGACTGTACAACAAATCTTGGCTTTTCCCTCTCAGGTAATTTTGCATTCATTGAAGACATATCCTTATCCCTTGAAACTAAAATCTATAGGGAGATAAGATGGGATAAGTGATTCTCTTCTTTAAAAACTATAGGGAAGAAAACAGAATTGGAGTAATTACTTAGAATACTTAGTAATTATTAATTACTTAGATCATAGGCACTAAATACTTAGTATATGCCAGCATTGGGGTTATCACTTTACAAGTATTAGCTTAATTAATCCTCACAAATCCATGGGCCATTAGTACTATTGTCCTCATTTTTTAGATTGGAAACTAAGGTTAGTAGAGTATAATTAACTTTTCTCTGGGAGAGTTAAGTAATGCATTGTGAGGCTGGGATTCAAACAGGCTAATAGATTTATTTATTTTTTTTATATCAAGCAGTTTAGGAAAGAAATGTGACACGTTTACATAATATTAAACAGCCCCTGGATATTGTGGCATTCAATTATCCATCAACCCATTAATTCCTTCATCCACGTAACTAACAAATACCCAGGGAGAGCATCCTATTTGTCATCATATGCTTAATGAAGAGTGTCTAAGAGAAAGTCAAAAGATCTTTTGCATCCTTAAAGCATGTGTCTTCTTTATGATGGGAGGGATGAAGCATTACAGTTGTACAATCTGGTTTTAAATAAAGAATTAGTGGCTCAGTTGGTAAAGAATCTGCCTGCAGTGTAGCAGACCTGGGTTCGGTCCTTGGGTTGGGAAGATCCCCTGGAGAAGGAAATGGCAACCTACTCCAGTACACTTGCCTGGAGAATTCCACGGACAGAGGAGCCCAGTAAGATACAGTCCATAGGACCACAAAGAGTAGGACACGACTGTGCAACTAACTTTCACTTTCGGTGAAAATCATGTTGGAAAGTTGAACAGATTAGAGCTTGAATTACTCAATTATAATGCAAAGGCATAGTGACAGTTTATTAAACCAAGTGATATTTACTGAACCACCTGTATTCTAGGTTTTGGGATATACACTGACTTTAAATTAGTGAGCAAAGCTAAACATGGACCTAGTCAGCTTGGTCCCCCAGATGATCCTGGGGATAAAATAAACTAAACCAATCACAAAAATATTGTTAAAATTACAATTGTGAAAACTTAGATCATCTAAAGTTATATGATATTTTGAGAGCATATACTAAGAGGATATGACTTGGGAAGATCAGCCAAGGAGGCAATGGAAATGTAAGAAGATAAATATAACTAAATCCCAACAAAGACAAATGCTGAAACTGAAAATTAGCAAATTATAAAAATACAGTATTTTACATACAGAGAAATACAAATTATCTGATAGGGTAGCCATCTGTATTACTAAAACTAATGGAAAACAGATAATGGAATATTTTTAGGTATAAAATTAAGTATTTGTGTATCTACATTTATATCCCAATAAATTATTTGAGAATTAAACTTAAAACAAGAAATTCTCAGAAAAATAAAATGGAGAATTAATCTCACACAAATTCTCACTGAAATAACTGAATATAAGGGTATATATTACACAGAAGAAAACTAAACCTGAAGTGTGGGAGGGAAGAGAACAGTGATAGAGTCACTGACAAAGCTCACTAAAGTTAAAGGAATATTGATATTAAATAAACATTCAATATACTTATAATTACATTCATATATAAAAATAATATTTAAAGTTCATTTTTAAATAAGTTATTATCAATAATTAAGTCTATACTTTCAAATTACGCCACATCAGTTAGAAGCAGAAGGTAACCAGAATCAAAATATTCTGAGATCCTTCTGTTATTTCATTACAAAGTAGAGTTACTGATTAATGGAGATTTCTGTCAAAAATTTTATGAATGAGAATCCCACTGTGTGGTTAATCACTCAGTCATGTCCGACTCTTTGTGACCCCATAGCTGTAGCCCACCAGGTTCCTCTGTCCATGGGGATTCTCGAGCGAAGAATACTGGAGTGGGTTGCCATGCCCTCCTCCAGGGGAACTTTTTAACCCAGGGATTGAACCCAACTCCCTCTTTGCAGGCAGATTCTTTAACATCTGACCCAGCAGGGAAGCCTAAATAGACCTGTGTGTGTGTGTGTGTGTGTGTGTGTGTCTTAGTCAGTGTGTGTGTGTGTGTGTGTGTGTGTCTTAGTCACTCAGTCAGGTCTGATGTTTTGTGACCCCATAGACCAGGGTTCAGTAGGCTTTTCTGGCCATGGAATTCACCAGGCAAGAATACTGGAGTGGGTTGCCATTTCCTTTTCCCAAAATAGGCCACTACTAATACGTAAATATATTTCTTAGAGAAGTAACTTAAAGCACTCAAATATTTTAACTGACATACAATGTACATAAAGGAAATAAACAATGAAACACACAAAATCTTTTCCTCCTGATATGGTTGACGAGTTTTGAAAAGTAGTTTGGAAATTATTAAGCCTCCTATATCTAACAAATTATTGCTAAGGCAATTATTATTGCCTTAGCAGAATTTAGAAATTTGGCTTTTATAACTTTCTACTGTTATGAGTATTGTGGGTAGAATTATCTGGCTTTATTCATTTTACAGACCAATAACAATGCTGTCTGGCCTTGTCATTGAATTTCTATGTAATACTCATTTTAAATACAGTGAAATATCACAAGGTAATGACCTGACACATTCTTTCAAGTCTGGTAAGTGAATTGCAAAAGAAAAAAAATAAGCCAATGACAAAAAGTGACTTGCTAACTTAACGTTCTCTCTAACTTGTCAGAGAATACAAAATATTACATACTGCTGAGCCAATGTGTACCCGGTTTGACAAACAGTTTTTCTTGAATCACTTTCTTTATTACTCTTTTAACATCTTTGTTGCGAAGGCTATAGATCAAAGGGTTTAGCATAGGACTCACAAAAAAGTGATATTCATTTTAAATACAGTAAAATACAAGGTAATGACCTTACAATTTCTTTCAAGTCTTGTAAGTGATTTACAAAAGAAAATGAGCCAGTGACAAAAAGTGAATTATTAATTTAATAATCTAGTTTGTCAGAGAATACAAAATATTACATACCATTGATCAAATGTGTACCCGAATTGAAAAACAATTTCTCTTGAATCACTTTCTTTATTACCCTTTTAACATCTTTGTTCCGAAGGCTATAGATGAAAGGGTTTAGCATAGGACTGACAAAAACAGCAAAAACAGCTATAATTTTACCCTGTTCTACAGAGGTCTCAGAAGGGGGCCTCACATACAGGCAAAACCGTGTCCCATAAGATACAAAGACAGCTGTGAGATGAGACCCACAGGTGGAGAAGGCTTTGCGCTTCCCTTCTGCAGAGCTGATACGCAGAATGGCTCTAAAGATGAAAATGTAGGAGATGAGGATGATGGTGAGAGAACACGTGAGATTGGAACCAGCCACCACGAACATGGCAGTCTCTTTGACATAAGTGTCTGAGCAGGCCAGGACTACCAGCGGTGGGTCCGCACAGTAAAAGTGGTTGATTTCCTTGGGTCCACAGAAGGAGAGGCGGAGCATCAGGATGGTCTGCGCAAGACCATTTGCAAAGCCGTAAATATAAGGAGCAGCAACAAGGGAGACACAGACACCTCGGGACATCTTGCTGCCATATAACAGGGGTTTGCCAATGGCCAGGTAGCGGTCATAGGCCATCACTGTGAGAATATAGCCACCTGTGATCCCCAAGGACATGGAAAAGTCAAACTGTATAAAGCAACCAAGGCGGGAAATAGTTTTTCTCTCAGATAAGAAATGAACCAGCATCTGAGGAGTGACAGTGGTGGCAGAACAGAGATCTACAAAGGAGAGGTGGCTGAGGAAGAAGTACATTGGAGTCTGAAGCTTTGAGTCAGTTCTGATTAACAAAATCATGCTCACATTGCAGAAGACTGTGATCAGGTAGATGACTAGGAAGACCACAAAAAGGAAAGGCTGCAACTCAGCTTGATCTGTCAGTCCCAGGAGAATAAACTCAGTCACTTCTGTGTAGTTTTCCTTGAACATTGTGTTTATATGGCTTTCAATGATGTCTAAAGTAAAGGAAATAAAAGTGAATTTTGCCACTGTCATTTTTCCATTCCTCACATCGTGTCATCTGATGCCTATTCCTTTCAAACTTGTAAATACATGTGGTATAATGAAATAATGGAGGGGACTTCCCTGGTGATCCAGTAGTCAAAACTTCACATTCTAATGCAGTGCGTGAGTGTTTGATCCCCAGTTAGACAGCTAAGATCCCAGATGCCTCATGGCCAAAAAACCAACACATAAAACAATTGTAATAATACAACAAATTCAGTAAAGATTTTATCTATGTGCCACATCAGAAAGTACTTTAAAAGCTGAAATATGCTAGTAGGCATGAACTATGTATTTTCAATATCTAACTTAATATAGAGTTTCTTTACATAAAGGCAATCATATTTTCTAATGCTTCTTTGCTATTCTTTTCATAGTTGAAAACTTTCATCTTTTCTATAAAGTGTTAGCATGAATTGATCACATAATTCCAAAAACATTGCTTCTTTTCAAAATTATGATCCTTTGTTTTCAGTATAATTTTAATGTGGTATCTAAAGTATCAATAATTTAAACTCATTTTTTTCCACAGCTGAGTGGACTTACATAAGTGGAATAGACAGATGTTTATAGAACCAGTGTCTGTCTACCTGCCACTCTAACCTCAAGGTCATTTTAAAGATAGTCCCTCACCTTGTGATGTATGTTCATTTTATCCACTCTTGCTTTTCTCTCCTGGCCCTCACCAAATCTTACTTAACTTTTAAGATATCTCAGGATATCCTTAGCTTACTATATTACAGTCAATTATTGATGGCAAAAGTTGATTCATAGGGCACAAACTGAACCTGTTTTTTGATGTAAAATCAGGTAAGTATATAGTATATAAATAATATGTGTATGTTTTTATACAAACACACATAGATATGGTATTAAACATTAAATTAGGGAGTAATAATATATTAAACATATTATCGTGGAAGTAATAATGTATTAAATATATTAAACATAATGTTGGAGAAGTAATAACGTATTAAATGTATTATTGGGGAGAGTAATGTATTAGAAATTTCCTCTTAGGAGAAGAGACAATTATTTTAACATCATTGACAGACATAGCCCCAAACTGTAATGATTTTACTGTAACTCCTCCTCATTTTAACTCTTGCAAAGAATAAGGATAATCTCTACAATAAGAATTCTATTTAAGTTCTTTAAAACATGTAAAAGATAACATAATAATAACCATACTGCCCATAAAATTGAGAAAACATGTAAGAAATCATAAAGTGCATTTCTCAACTTTTGTGTATGATAAAGGAGACCATGAAGGCCACACTAGAAAAATCTACACTTTCTTTCAATAGCACATAACCAGGTACGTCATTGTTATAATGACACATACTAATTGCTACAGTGCCAAGGATGGACACAGATCACATTTAAAGCACTTTGTAAATGAACCACTGCCGCTTTTTTGCCCATTTGCACTAACTCAGTATCCTCCTGAGATATGTGAACTTATTGGCTAGGGTGGTAAAATAAAAGTGAAGTCATCTAAATCAATGAAATCACAATCATTTGGTCTTCCATTTATACATTCCTAAGACTATAGTTCTTCTTGTAATAAGTAAATATGCTTTAGGGTATGGCTTGTATCTTTAATCTGTATTTACTGAGTACTAAATAATTATCTCCTTTCAATTTTCACTGTGCAGAAATGAGACAGTGCAAGCAATGAACATTCCTGATCATTTACCTGAGTACTTTATGGTCATGATCTTTCTTTTCAAGCAACAGAACACAGTATCTTCACATGATTGGGTGAGAAATGCTCAGAGAGAAGTGGAAAAAATGGCTCTGAGGAACAGCAATTTTTGTACTCTTGACAGTCACCCTCACTCTGAGACTCTGTCATGTGGCATTTGATCTATTGCTTTATACCTTAAGATGCTACTCCACAGTACACTTATAAATGTTTTTAGTAGTAGAAAGATACCAGAATTTAAAACTGTTCAGTTTTTGCATCTGTATGTTAATGAGGGTGGTAATTTTCAACTAAAGAGATCTTGCACTTACCTCTCCTTGAGGTAAGTGTCCAAAACACCCAGTCCAGTATTTAGAAATGATGCCTGAATCTGAGTTACATTACAGCATTCTCAAATTTATATGTGTGTCTTATATTTGATGTGTGCGTTTATGACATCTTTTTTACGGGAAACATATCACCTTCAGGTGACAGCTGGCAATCAGGGGCAGGAGAGCAGAAAGGGGGCTTCCTGATGGCTCAGAGGGTAAAGAATTTGCCTGCAATGCAGGAGACACCGGTTCAGTTCCTGAGCTGGGGAGATCCTCTACAGAAAGGAGTGGCTACCCATTCCAATATTCTTGGCTAGAGAATTCCATAGACAGAGGAAACCAGTGGGCGACAGCCCATGGGGAGCAAAGAGTTAGACATTACTGAGGAGCTAATGCTTTCACTTATTTTTTCATTTTTATTGCAGAAAGTAATCAAAAAGCAGTAATTACTTAGCTGATGATCTAGGCACAGCTAAATCTTCTTTTACCCTCATTACAGACAAAAAGAAGAAAAATAACATTTAAAAGAACTTTTCCTAGCTTATAAAATAATAATGATTTTCATACAACATTCAATGAAGAATTTTTCTTCCATTGTATTTATTCTAAATTTGTACTATTCTTTTCTAAGCTAATGCAGAACTTTTAATAAAATTCATTTAAGGACAGTTAAAAAAGACATTTCATAATTTATGAGAATAGGTTTCAGATCATGATTTTATTCATTAAAATATTTATTTTGGGATTTCAAAAAATTTTAATAATAACTAGTCCTACCTGTGAAACAAGAGTGATTTCCCAGTGATAGCATGGAACTGAAGAACCTAAGGGGTTTATACTATTACTGTCACAGAGGAACCAACTCTCTAGGGTTCAATTATTTCTCACATAAAATCATTTAGACTATAAACAAGGGTTTCACTCTTTTTATAATCTTAAATCCATTGAGGACATAAATTCTTGCCAATCCCCAGTATTATCAGGGAATAAAATCTCCTGAAGTAGTGAAGCAATGTGATTCATTACTTATTTTAACTTATGCCTAAATGTCTTGATATTTTGAGATGTGACTTGGGGAACACACTAAGTTCTCCTGTTTACAAGATCCGAGATGGAAGAGATCGTGATATAGGAGAACCATCGGATGATCAGGCAACTTTTGTTGCATTTGGCCTACTTATGTCCTGATTCTGAACCTTGTTCTCTATATTTCTGATAGTTATAATAATAAACGCATAGTGATGGGAACACTGTGGGTAGACATAATATAAATGTGCTGCTGATTCTTTCCTTGTCAGCCCAGCCCATCTAGATTTATTGTCTTTTTTCTCTACATTGTTGCTGCTGTTGTTGTTCCCTTGTAGTTTATTCCTTAGATTCCATCAGTAGAGCTCCTAGGGTAACTAGTTCTGAGTTTGGCCAATGGCAGAAATCAAGAGCATAACACAGGAGAGAGTAAGAGAAAAGCATCCAAACCTCTTTTCCATTTTTCTCCCAGTTTCATAATGAAGTGCTAGGGTGGCTGCATCCTTCCAAGGAAAATTCCTGCTGAGATGTGGGTTGAGAAGGTGGGCTGGGGCATTCTTCCTGGATCTAGTTTCACTGGACTCCTGACAGTAACACTTCTGTTGGCCTCATCAGGTCTGGGAAGAAAATTGCTTTCTAGACTTAGCCTCCAGATACTTCAACTTCTTGGACTGATTTCTTTAACTCTGACTGCATTCTCTTTATAAATTTGTTCCATTAAATTCTCTTTAATTAACATATCTGAGTAGAATTTTGTCTCTCATCCTTATCCACACCAGGGTGTCACACGCTAGTTATTCAATAAATGCTGCAGTAGAATATGCATTTCTGGATTCAGTATTGCTGGATGCTAAAGGGGCCCTTGAATCATCATCATTCTGGATCATGGATCACTTGCAGACTAAACACAGGAATCAGAGATTAACATTACTGGGATTATCGCAGATAAAATTGGATTTAAGAATGTGTCTTAGGCGTGTTTTTCTGTCCCCTTCTTTTGACAACTGGAATCACCCGGGCACAGCAGGGCAGTGAGATAACTACTGCTCCCTCCTACCCTTTCCAGAGCCAAGACCACGCAGGGTGTCTGACTTGTTACCCATCACCTCTAAGTAAGTAGGCAAAAGTGGAGAGTATCTGAAGTGTACTTCACCTCCCAGTGTGTTTATGGTTGCTTCCAGACGTGTTTGACTTGGAATAAAGATATGGTACCTGTGCACTCTCCGCAGTACGGTAGAGCAGAGTACACAGAAGCAGTCGGTTGTAGAGGATGCACACACATAATGTCGGCCAGCCATGTGAACTAACCTACGTGACTGGCCCTGTGAACACGCATTCACATCTTTGAAAGTTCACAACTTCAAAGTTCACATGTAAAGGACCTATTGTATGTGAATGCAATTTTGCTGTTTGTGGCAACATGAATGTACTTGGAGGGCATTAAGCTACTAAAATAAGGCAGAAAGAGGCAAAAAGAAATGCTGTATGATATCACAAATAGGTGGAATATAAAAATACAACAATATGGTGAAGTAATCAAAAAAGAACCAGAGTCACAGATATAGACCCAAATAGTGGTTACCAGTGGGGAGAGGGAAGCAGAGAAATGCAATACAGCATTAGGGGAAAAAGAAGTTGTGATGAGAAAATATAAAATCATGTGTATGACCCTTTTGAAAGTTTCAAAGCACTATAGATTTTAAAGAATGGTTCAGTCAGTAAAAATAATAGAATAACATAACATAAAACTTATATATGTATAAACAGTTGTTCAGTTGCTCATTAATGTCTGACTCTGTGACCCAATGGACTGCAGCATGCCTGGCTTCCCTGTCCGTCACCATCTCCCAGAGTTTGTTCAAACTCATGTCCACTGAGTCCACAACGTCATCCAACCATCTTATCCTCTGTCACCCCCTTCATTCCTGACCTCAATCTTTCCCAGCATCAGGGTCTTCGCATCAGGTGACCAAAGTTTTGGACCTTCAGCTTCAACATCAGTCCTTCCAATGGATATCCAAGATTTATTTCTTTTAGGATTGACTGGTTTGATCTCCTGGCTGTCCAAGGGACTCTTCAATAGTGTTCTCNTATACTCTGCATATATGACATACAGGTTTCTCAGGAGACAGGTAAGGGAGTCTGGCACTTTGTTGTGATATACACAGCCAAAGCCTTTAGCATAGTCAATGAAGCAGAAGTAAACGTTTCTCTGGAACTCCCTTGCTTTCTCCATGACCCACCAAACGTTGACAATTTGATATCTTGTTCCTCTGCCTTTTCTAAACCTAACTTATACATCTGGAACTTCTTGGCTCACATACTGCTAAAGCCTAGACTGAAGGATTTTGAGTTACTTTGCTAGCATGTGAAATGAGTGCAATTGTATAGTAGTTAGAACATTCTTTGGGATTAGAACGAAAACTGACCTTTCCCAGTCCTGTGGCCACTGCTGTGTTTTTCAAATTTGCTGGCAAATTGAATGCAGCACTCTTAACAGCATCATCTTTTAGGATTTGAAATAGCTCACCTGGAATTTCTTCACCTCCTCTAGCTTTGTTCCTAGTAATGCTTCATAAGACCCACTAGACTTCACACTCCAGGATGTCTAACTCTAGGTGAGTGATCACACCATGATGGATATCTGAGTCATTAAGACTTTTTCTGTACAGTTCTTCTATGTATTTTTGCCACTTCTTCTTAATCTCTTCTAATTCAGTTAGATCCTTACTATTTCTATCCTTTATTGTGACCATCTTTGCATCAAATGTTTCCTTGGTATCTAATTTTCTTGAGGAGATTTCTAGTCTTTCCCATTCTACTGTTTTCCTCTATTTCTCTGCACTGATCACTTAGGAATGTTTTCTTATCTCTCCTTGCTATTCTTCAGAACTCTGTATTCAGATGCATATATCTTTCCTAGTCACCTTTGCCTTTTACTTCCCTCCTCTCTGCAACTAATTGTAAGGCCTCCTCAGACAACCATTTTGCCTTTTTGCACTTCTTCTTTGGGATGGTTTTGATCACCACCTCCTCTACAATGTTAGGAACCCTGGACCGTAGTTCTCCAGGCACTCTATCAGATCTAATCCCTTGAATCTATTAACCTCCATACTGCATGCTATATTACCACTCTGCCCTATCCTTGGCTTACATACTGCTTCCATTACCTACTAATATTTCTGTTGCTACTAATAGCCTGCAAACACTTTTAACAAGAATCTGATACCCACGGCTAGTAAGGTTTTGGAGATAATAATTGAAGAGCAAATATATGCTGAATAATTGAAAGAAAATGCAGTGTGCATTTAATTCAATGACTGTACAACAAATCTTGGCTTTTCTTTCTCAGGTAATTTTGAATTCTTTGAAGACATCCTTATCCCTCGAAACTGAAACTCAATAGGGAGATAATTTGGGATAAGTGACTCTCTTGTTTAAATATTATAGGGAAGAAAACAGAATTGGAGTAATTACTTATATAGATCATAGGCACTGAATCTTTAGTATATGCTGGCAGCAGGCTTACCACTTTACACATATTAGCTTAATTAATCCTCACAAATCCATGGGCCATTAGTACTATTGTCTTCATTTTTTAGATTAGAAACTGAGGTTAGTAGAGTATAATTAACTTTCTCTGGGTGAGAAAACTAATGAATTGTGAGACTTGGAATCAAACAGGCTAATAGATAGGGTTTTTTGGTTGTTGTTGTTGTTGTTGTTGTTTTTAATCAAGCAATTTAAGGAAAGAAATGTGACAAGTTTACAAAATATTTCACATCCTCTGGATATTGTGACATTCATTTATCCATCAATTCATTCATTCCTTCATCCACTTAACTAACAAATATCCAGGGAGAGCATTCTATTTGTCACCATATGCTTAATGAAGAGCGTCTAAGAGAAAGTCATAGAGTATTTTGTGTCCTTTAAGCATGTCTTCTTTATGGTGGGAGGGATGAAGCCTTACAGTTTACAATATGGTTTCAAATTATTAAGAGTTAGAAAAGTTCCTTAGTGGCTCAGTAGGTGAAGAATCTGCCAACAATACAGGAGACCTGGGTTCAATCCACGGGTCATGAAGATCCCCTGGAGAAGGAAATGGCAACCCATTCCTTGCCTATAGATTTCCATGGACAGGGGAACCCAGTAGGATACTATCCATGGGATCGCAAAGAGTAGGACAACACTGTGCAGCTAACTTTCACTTTCACTGAAAATCATGCTGGAAAGTTGAAGAGAATAGAGCTTGAAATACTCAATTATAATGCAAAAGGCATAGTGAGTTTATGAAATCAAATGATATTTACTGAACCACCTGTATTCTAGATTTTGGGATATATACTGACTTTAAATTAGTGAGCAAAGTCAAACATGGACCTAAGTCAGCTTGAAGATGACAATCCTGGGATAAAATACACTAAATCAATCACAAAAATATTGTTAAAATTGTAATTGTGAAAACTTCTATCATCTAAAATTATATGATATTTTGAGAGCATATACTAAGAGCATATGGCTTGGAAAGATCAGCCAAGGAAGCAATTAAAATGTAAGAAGATAAATATAACTAAATCCCAACAAAAACAAATGCTGAAACTGAAAATTAGCAAATTATAAAAATACAATATTTTACCTACAGAGAAATACAAATTATCTGATAATGCAACCATCTATATTACTAAAACTAATGGAAGACAAATGATGGAATATTTTCAAGTCTGAAAAGAAAGTACTTGTGTGTCTACATTTATATCCAAATACATTCTTTGAGAATTACAGTTAAAGCAAGAAAAACCCACTTCAATATTGTAAAGTAATTAGCTTTCAAATAATAAAAATAAATGAAAAAACAAGTTAAAGCAAGAAATTTTCAGATAAATACAAAAGGAGAATTAATCTCATGCAAATTCTCACTGAAATAATTGAATATAAGGGTATATATTATACAGAAGAAAACTAAACCTGAAGTGTGGAAGAAAAGAGAAAAGTGAGAGATACATTGACAAAGTTCACTAAAGCTAAAGGAATATTGATATTAAACAAGCATTTAATATAACAATAGTTACATTCATATACAATAATAATATTTAAAATTCATTCATAGATAAAAGGTATTGTCAAGAATCAAGTCTATACTTCCAAATGACGTCACATAAGATAGAAGCAGAATGTAACCAGAATTAAAATATTCTAAGATCCTTCTGTTATTTCATTACAAAGTAGATTTACTGATTAATGGAGATTTCCATCAAAAGCTTTATGAATGAGAATCCCACTGTGGGGTTAGTCGCTTAGTCATGTCCGACTCTTTGGGACACCATGGACTGTAGCCCACCAGGCTCCTCTGTCCAAGGCGATCTCCAGGGAAGAATACTGGAGTGTGTTGCCATGCCCTCCTCTAAGAGAATTTCCCAACTCCGAGATGGAACCCAGGTCTCCTGCTTTGCAGGCAGATTCCTCACCATCTGAGCCACAGGGAAGCCTAAACAGGCCAGTGCGTGAGTGTTTTAGTGCTCGGTCATGTCCACCTTTTATGACCCCACGACCTGGGGCTCACCAGGCTCTTCTGGCCATGGGATTCTCCAGGCAAGAACACTGCAGTGGATTGCCATTTCCTTTACCAGAAATAGGTCAGTATTAATACTTAAATATATTTCTTATAGAAGTACCTTAAGATACTCAAAGATTTTAACTGATGTATAATGTACACAAAGGAAAAAAACAAACAAACAAACAAACAAAGTTCTCCTCCTGATATGACAAGTTTTGAAAAGTAGTTTGGAAATTGTTAAGCCTCCCATATCTAACAAATTATTGCCTTAGCATCATTTGGAAATTCTGACTTCTGTATCTTTTTACTGTTATAAATATTGTGGGTAGAATTAGCTGACCTTTATTAATTTTACAGAGCAGTAACAATGCTGTCTGGCCTTATCATTGAATTTCTATGTGATATTCATTTTAAATACAGTAAAATACAAGGTAATGACCTTACAATTTCTTTCAAGTCTTGTAAGTGATTTACAAAAGAAAATGAGCCAGTGACAAAAAGTGAATTATTAATTTAATATTCTAGTTTGTCAGAGAATACAAAATATTACATACCATTGATCAAATGTGTACCCGAATTGAAAAACAATTTCTCTTGAATCACTTTCTTTATTACCCTTTTAACATCTTTGTTCCGAAGGCTATAGATGAAAGGGTTTAGCATAGGACTGACAAAAACAGCAAAAACAGCTATAATTTTACCCTGTTCTACAGAGGTCTCAGAAGGGGGCCTCACATACAGGCAAAACCGTGTCCCATAAGATACAAAGACAGCTGTGAGATGAGACCCACAGGTGGAGAAGGCTTTGCGCTTCCCTTCTGCAGAGCTGATACGCAGAATGGCTCTAAAGATGAAAATGTAGGAGATGAGGATGATGGTGAGAGAACATGTGAGGTTGGATCCAGCCACAATGAGCATGGAAGTCTCTTTGACATAAGTGTCTGAGCAGGCCAGGACTACCAGCGGTGGGTCCGCACAGTAAAAGTGGTTGATTTCCTTGGGTCCACAGAAGGAGAGGCGGAGCATCAGGATGGTCTGCGCAAGACCATTTGCAAAGCCGTAAATATAAGGAGCAGCAACAAGGGAGACACAGACACCTCGGGACATTTTGCTGCCATATAACAGGGGTTTGCCAATGGCCAGGTAGCGGTCATAGGCCATCACTGTGAGAATATAGCCACCTGTGATCCCCAAGGACATGGAAAAGTCAAACTGTATAAAGCAACCAAGGCGGGAAATAGTTTTTCTCTCAGATAAGAAATGAACCAGCATCTGAGGAGTGACAGTGGTGGCAGAACAGAGATCTACAAAGGAGAGGTGGCTGAGGAAGAAGTACATTGGAGTCTGAAGCTTTGAGTCAGCTCTGATTAACAAAATCATGCTCACATTGCCGAAGACTGTGATCAGGTAGATGACTAGGAAGACCACAAAAAGGACAGGCTGCAACTCAGCTGGATCTGTCAGTCCCAGAAGGATAAACTCAGTCACCTCTGTGTAGTTTTCCTTGAACATTGTGTTGTTCAGCTTCCAGTGATGTCTAAAGAAAAGGAAATAAAAATGAATTGGTCCTTTGTCATTTCTCCATTCCTTACATCGTGTCAGCTGCTGCCTACTCCTCGTAAATACATGTGGTATAAAGAAATAACTTAGGGGACTTCCCTGGCGATCCAGCGGTTACATCACCTTCTAATGCAATCCGTATGTTTTCATTCCCAGTTAGACAGGTAAGATCCCAGATGCCTCATGGCCAAAAAACCAAAACATAGAACTATATATTTACTAATTTAACAAATTCAGTAAAGATCTTATAAATGGGCCACATCAGAAATTAAAGACAGAAATAAGCTAGTAAGCATGAACTATGTATTTTTGATATCTAACTTAATACAGTTTCTTTACAGAAAGTCAATCATATTTTCAAATGCTTCTGTGCTATTCTTTTCCTAGTTGAAAAGCTTTTAACTTTTCTGCAAAACATTAGCGTGAATTGACCACTGATAATTCCTTTAAATATTGTTTCCCTTTGAAATTATGATCCCTTGTTTTTAGTATCATTTTGATATGGTGTCTAAAGCATCAGTACATGAAACTCATTTGTTTAACAGTTGAATGGGCTTAAGTAAGTGGAATAGACATATCTTTAAAGGACCAGTATCTGTCTACCTGCCACTCCAACCTCAGGGTCATTTTAGAAATAGTCCCTCAAACTTGCGATGTATGTTCATTTTATCCACTCTTGCCTCTCTCTGGTGGCCCTCACCAAATCTTCCTTAACTTTTAAGACATCTCAGGATATCCTTGTCTTTCTCTATTACAGTGTGCTGTGGTTCATGGGGTTGCAAAGAGTCAGACACGACTGAGCGACTGAACTGAACTGAACTGAACTATATTACAGTCAATTATCGAGGGCAAAAGTTGGTTCCTGGGGCACAAATAAGCCAGTTTTTTTTTGTGTAAAAGCAGGTGAGCATATAGTACATAAACGATATGTGTATATTTTTATACATGCACATGCATCAGTGGTATTAAATGAGGGAGTAATAATGTATTAAACATATTTGGGGATCAATAATGTATTAAATGCATTAAACATATTGTTGGAGAAGTAATAATGCATTAAACGTGTTAATGGTGGAAAGTAATGCATGAAAAATTTCCTCTTAGGAGAAGAGACAATTATTATAAGGTGATTGACAGACACATCCCCAAACTGTAATGATTTTATTGCAAATCTACCTCTTTTAACTCTTGCAGAGAATAAGGATATACTCTACAATAGGAATTCTAAGTTCTTTAAAGCATGTAAATGATAACACTGATAATAATAATTATATTGCCCATAAGGTTGAGAAAGTATGTAAGAAAGCATAAACTACATTTCTCAAAATTTATGCATGATAAGGGAGACCATGAAGGCCGTGCTAAAAAAATCTACACTTTCTTTCAACAGCACATAACCAGGCATGTCATTGTTATAATAAAACTTATTAAGAGCTCCAGTGCCAAGAATGGATATGAGTCACATTTAAATCACTTTGTAAAAGAACCAGTCCTGCTTTTTTGCCATTTACATTACTTCACTACCCTCCTGAGATATGTGAACTTATAGACCAGGGTTGGAAAATGAAAGAGAAGTCATCTAAATCAATTAAGATGACAATCATTTGGTTTTCCTTTTATAAGTTTCTAAGATTATAGTTATTCATTGGAAGGACTGATGCTGCAACGGAAACTCCACTCCTTTGGCCACCTGATGCAAAGAACTGACTCACTGGAAAAGACCCTGATTCTGGGAAAAACTGAAGGCAGGAGGAGAAGGGGATGACAGAGGATGAGATGGTTAGATGGCATCACAGACTTGATAGACATGAGTTTGAGTAAACTCTGGGAGCTGATAATGGACAGGGAAGCCTGGCATGCTGCAGTCCAAGGGTGGAAAGTGTCAGACACGACTGAACTACTGAACTGAACATTATAGTTCTTCTTACAATAAGTAAACATATTTTAGGGTAAGGATTGTGTCTTTTTTATGTATTTATTGAATCCTCAGTCAAAACTGCAAAGAATTAGCATCTCCATTCAGTTTTCACTGTGCAGAAATGGGACAGTGCAAGCAATGAACATTCCAGATCATTTACCTGAGTACTTTATGGTCATGACCTTTGTTTTCAAAAATGGAACATGGTATCTTAGAAGATTAGGCAAGAAAAACTCAGAGAGAAGTGGAAGAAATGGCTCTGAAGAATGGCAATCTCTGTACTCTCGACAATCACCCTCGCTCTGAGGCTGTGTCATGATGTGACTGTTGATATATGCTTTTACCATTAAGATGCTACTCCACAGTATATTTATAAATATTTTTAGTAGTAGAAAAGTGCCAGAATATAAACCTTTTCCATTTTTTGCATGTGTATGTTCATGAGGGTGGTAATTTTCACCTAATGAGATTTTGCACTCACCTGTCCATGAGGCAAGAGTTCAAAACACCTAGCCCAGTATTTAGAAATGAGGCCTGAATTTGAGTTACATTATAGCGTTTCATCGACTGAAATGGCACCAACGGAGATGGCATCACTGACTCGATGGACATGAGTTTGAGTGAACTCTGGGAGTTGGTGATGGACAGGGAGGCCTGGCCTGCTGCAGTCCATGGGGTCGCAAAGGGTCGGACATGACTGAGCGACTGAACTGAACTGAACTGAACTGATAGCATTTCACAGACTGAATTGTGTCTTATAGTTGAAGCATGCGTTTATGACAACCTTTTTCTTTTGGGGGGAACACATCACCTTCATCAGATGAAAGTTAGCAATTAGAGGGGCAGGGTAGCAGAAAGGGGCTTCCCTGGTGGTTCAGATGGTAAAGAATTTACCTGCAACAGCAGACACAAGTTCAACCCCTGTGTTGGGAAGATCCTCTACAGAAAGGAGTGGCTACTCACTCCAGTATTCTTGCCTGGAGAATTCCTTAGACAGAGGAGTCGAGTGGGTCACAGTCCATGAGCTAGCAAAGGGTTAAACACGACTGACTGACTAACACTTTCACTTTGTTTTTCATTTTCACAGCAGAAAGTACTCAATAAGCAGTGATTACTTAGCTCATGATCCAGGCACAGCTAGTTCTTTTACCTCCATTATAGAGAAAAAGAGGAAAAATAACTTTTAAATGAACTTTGCCTAGCTTATACAATAATAATGACTTTCATGCAACATTCAGTGAAGAATGTTTCTTCCACTGTATTTATTCTAAGTATATACTGCTCTTTTCTACGTTAATGCAGAAATTTTATTAAAATTCGTTTAAGAATTGTCAACAAAGGCATTAGATATTTTAAGAGAAGAGACTTCGGGTAATGACTTTTTTTAATTAAAATGTTTATTTCTAGATTCCACAATATTTTAATGATAACTAGTCCTACCTGTGAAAGAAGAGTGATATCCCAGTGACAGCATGGAAATGAAGAACCTTAGGATTTTATACCATTATTGTTACAGAGGAAACAACTCCCTGGGGTTCAATTATTTCTCACCTTAAATCATTTAGACTATAAACAAGTGTTTTACTCTTTTAATAATCTTAAGTCCATTGAGGACATAACTTCTTGCCACTTCCTAGTATGATCAGGGAATAAAATCTCCTGAAATGATGAAGCAATGGGATCCATTATTTGTTTTAACTTATGTCTAAATGTCTTGATATTTTGAGACTTGACTTGGGGAACATGTTAAGTTCTCCTGTTTACAAGAAGAAAGATGGAAGAGTTCATGATATAGGTAAACCATTAGATGATCAGACAACTTTTGTTGCATTTGGACTACCTATTTCCTGATTCTGATTCCTTGTTCTAGTATTTTAGACAGCTATAATAATAAACACATAGCGATGGGAACACTGTGGGTAGACATAATATAAATGTACTGTTGATTCTTCCTTTGTCAGCCCAGCCCATCTAGATCTATTGTCTTTTTTCTTTACATTGTTGTTGCAGTTGTTGTTCACTTGTAGTTTATTCCTTAGATTCCATCAGTAGAGCCCCTAGGGTAACTAGTTCTGAGTTTGGCCAATGGCAGAAATCAAGAGCATAACACAGGGGAGAGTAAGAGAAAAGTATCCAAACTTATTTCCCATTTTTCTCCCAGTTTTATAATGAAGTGCAGGGTGGCTGATTCCTTCCAAGGAAAATTCCTGCTGAGATGTGGGTTAAGAGGGTGGGCTGGGGCATTCTTCCTGGATCTAGTTTCACTGGACTCCTGACAGTAGCACTTCTGTTGGCCTCATCAGGTCTGGGAAGAAAATTGCTTTCTAGACTTAGCCTCCAGATACTTCAACTTCTTGGACTGCTTTCTTTAACTCTGACTGCATTCTCTTTATAAATTTTTCCATTAAATTCTCTTTAGTTGACACATCTGAGTAGAATTTTGTCTCTCATCCTTACCCACACCAGGGTGTCACATGCTAGTTATTCAAATAATGCTGCAGAAGAATATGCATTTCTGGCTTCAGTATTGCTGGGTCCTAAAAGGGCCATTGAATCACCATCCTTCTGGATCACAGATCACTTGCAGACTAAACACAGGAATCAGAGATTAATATTACTTGGATTATCACATATAAAATTGGATTTGAGAATATGTCTTAGACGTGTTTTTCTATCCCCTTCTTTTGATAACTGGAATCACCCAGGCACAGCAGGGCTGTGAGATATCTACTACTTCCTCCTCCCCTTTCCAGAGCCAAGACCACGCAGGGTGTCTGACTTGTTACCCATCACCTTTAAGTAAGTAGGCTTAAGTGGAGAGTATCTGAAGTGTACTTCACATCACAGTGTGTTTACAGTTGCTTCCAGGCGTGTTTGACTTGAAATAAACATATGGTACCAGTGTACTCCCTGCAGTATGGTACGGCTGAGTACACAAAAGCACAGTCAGTTGTGATTGGCCCTGTGAACACGCATTCACATCTTTGAAAGTTCACAACTTGAAAGTTCACATGTAAAGGACCTATTGTATGTG